TTTCCTCATGTGTTAAAATACTACTTGCCTACCTCATAGGAGCATTGAGAGGATAAATACATTAAAGATTGTGAGGTGCTGAGATACTAGATTCACAGTCTGTACACTTAACTGACCTCTTCTTCTACTCCAGGCAAAAAATTTATTTTCTGTGAAACAGGATCTGAAAAAGATATTTTGATGAATATTTTTTCTAAATAAATTTTTATAACATATAGTATAATAGCTTAAAACTAGGCAAAATGTTACAATATTTAGAAGTGTCTTCTTAGAAGACATTAAAAAGTGCATATAACTAGAAACTTAAATTTAAAGAGACCATTGTACAAGATGATGTAATACCCTTTTTGGCCTTACCTGGATCTGTGACTTCACCATGGCTTGGTGTACTTGTCATTACAAAAGGCAAACTAAAATAATCTTCTGTGCACTTGTTAAAAACCTAGAAAATTTTAAAAATTAGTTTGTTAAGGTATATCTGAAGGCTGGGAGTGCCAATCCCAGAACAATACTATAGTTAAGGCTCTGTTCAAAATTTATTTTCCATTCCCTGTAACATTCTCAGAAAACATGCGTGATGAAATTTCACAACCTAAATCTTACCTTAGAAATCAATTTTTCATTTTTAGAAAATACCATAGAAATCTGATATGAGTATACCTGATCTTATATGCTTTTAAAAACTGAGCATATCTGGAACTGATCAGTACTTGAATAAGAGACCCCAATGAGAAAAAAGAATATGTTGAATTTATGCATATTTATGCAATAGACAATTAAGTGTGTGCAGGCCTCAACTAGTACTACTGACTGACAGAACATGAAATAGTTCATAATCCAATTGTTTTCAATGGGACTATTTGTCAAGTAAGGTACTATTCGGGGTGAATAAGGTTATCTGAATATATCCTAAAATTTTATAATCCCTGGATAATTTTCTGTATTCTAAATTATCCACAATAGGCTTTGCAATTTTAATTTCTCGCTGGCTGAATATCTATATTTTTTTTCGGTCATTGTTCTCAAATTATTGTAGCTTTCTGTAAAACAGAATATTTGGGGGGGGATGAAATTTTTCATTCTTGTTCTTAGGCCAAATATTACCATTTTTGGAAATTCTGGTAACATTATTTTTAGTTGTTTTGGAGCTATAGTTAGGCTTGGAAGGATATTATCAGTAAGCATCAATTTCAGCATACATACACAAACCAACTAAAAATATTTCCACCTATAATAATCAACATTTACAAATAGGCAAAGTAAGAAAAATGCTCCTTATTTGTTTGATTTAAGGATTCTGTATATTTCTACATGATAATAATGTTTTAATGGCTATAAATCTTTAATTTCTTGAATTTCAACATCTACTGTGACTAAATATTTACTAACCCTTCAGTTTCTCACAACTGAAAATTTAAATCTATAAAAATTGAAAAAAATGCTTAAAACTAATTATTATCCATCAAAATTATTAAAAAACAAAACACCAAATTTTGTCGGGGCTAGCTACAACCATAATTCTCCCTGCAGCTTTCAGAGTGCAACAGATGTAACCTTCCAGATACACATACACCAAATAATGCATGGGGTTTTCAACCTTTTTCTTTCTGAGGCTCTCCTCTCCCCACTCCCATGCTATACAAGTTCCAGGGCCCACTTGTGACACTGCAACAGTTTTTCAGAAGATTAAAAGCCAGGGCCAGTGTTAGGGGGTAGCTAGCAGAGCAATTGCCCAGGACCTCACACCACAGGGGGCCCCGCAAAGCTAAGTTGCTCCGGCTTCAGCTTCAGCCAGGAGCATCGGGGCTCAGGATTCAGCTTTCTGCCCTCGATTCCACTGGCCCTGCTCTCTAGTTTATTTTGGCAGAGACCCTGAAACCTGCTCACGGCCCCATTGGGGGCCCTGGACTCCTAGTCGAGACAGGGTTGCCAACCCTCCAGGATTGTCCTGGTGTCTCCAGGAATTAAAGATAATATTCAATTAAATTTTATGTCATGCGATGAAACCTCCAGGAACATGTCCAACCAGAATTAGCAACCCTAGATGAGAACCACTGTAATAAAAGTACTTCAATTAGGAAGGCCTAGAGCTTCAATTTAGAAGTTACACTACACTATAAGACGACAATATTTCTCGACAAGGTCCTTGAACTGGTCTCCAAGAACAGGACTTCGCGGAACAGCAGGCGGGTCTGCGCGGCCCTTCTGACATCGAGCTACGAAAAGGCAGAGCCGGGTTGGAAGCGCCTTTACCGTCCTGCACTAACGTTAACCCACAGCCCCGGCGTGGGGAATACAGCTGGCGAGAGACGGCCCCACGAGTCGCGGCCGCCCGCCCGCCCGGCCGCCCCGGGGTCCCCACAACCGCAATCCCTGTCCGGAGCAGGAAGAGGAACGCGGGCATGCAAAGGTCTCGCCTGTCGTTCGCGTCTGAATGTTCTCCGCACCGACACACAGCCGCGATCGCTGCGCCGAAAAGCCGCCGTTTCATTCGTGCCATGTTTACCTGACAGGCTCCAGCGCCCCTGGCGCTCGCCTGAGGTTTAACAGCAGACACTTGGCTGCTGCTCAGCCTGGGTGGCACGAACAGTGTAAAGGGCTTTTCTTTTTCCATTTCCCCAGGCCCAGCAGCACGAGAACCAGGCTCTCCAAGGCACAGGGACCGCGCCCCACCCCACCCCTGAGCGCCGCGGTCAACGGCCGCGCGAGCCAGAGGGAGGCGAAAAAGGCGGGAAGCGCGAGCCAGCCCTGAAACCTGTGGGCCGCGCGCTGCCCGCGAGGCGCTTCGAAGGGCCAGGCCGGGGGGCAGCTGGCCAAAGCCGCCTTGCGGACGGGGGAAGGAGAAAAATCAGGCCGCCTGCTGTTTGCGCGGGGACAGCGGAGAGGGCCGGGACGGGCCGCGGTGGCTGCGTGGGGAGCCCTGGCCCAGGTGCTGGGTGACGCGAGTCTGGCCCCTGGCTCATCAGGCTGTCAGCCAGCGGGGGACGGCTCAGGTGGACACACAGGTGGGGCAGGAGAAACAGGGACGCCCCCTTCACAGCTCAGCCTTGTTTGGAAACAGACTGACCCCAGGCTGGGGCATCAGGGTGCTTCCCCGGGGCCGGCCCCGAGAAGGGTGTAGTCTCCTGTGGCAGGAGGTGTTGAGATATAGCGGCCTCCTCTGCTCCAATATGCTGTCTCACAGCAGCTCCCCTCAGGGAAAAGGGTGCTTTGAATACCTGCCAGCCTCAAACCTTCTCCCTGGGATCTCAGGCTTACTTGGTGCAGCTCAGATATCATTTGTCATTATCAGTAATAATTCTTCAGGCAAACTTCTGCTCTTGGTAGTACTTGTGTAAACCTAATGCCTTCCATGCTATGCCAAATAGTGTCTTGGTCTGTATTTTCTTAACTATCTGAGTTGCACCTGTCTTAAAGACTACTGGCTTTGCACAGGTGCTATGGAGAGAGTAATTTCATCAGTGTGCTATTACTGTGATAGTGCATAAGGAGGAAAGAGCCCAGTGGATTTTTAAGGTGAGATATGACAAAAAAAAATCTAACATGTACACCTCCCCTGTTTACTTTTATCTAAACAGCAAACTTGAGTGGGACAGCACTGAAGGTGATAAACATGGAAATCTTGTACTCACTTTATCAGACAAGAGAGGGAGAAGAAGAAATGGAAACTGGGGTAAGGAGGAAAAGAAGATTAAATTAGAAGGAACAGCTCCCTTCACTCATTTTCTTTTATCTCCATTTCCTTTTTTGTCCTAATAATCTCCACTTGGTCTGTTCTGTTTCACCTGTTCCCTTCATTCCTTTAGTTTAAGGCTGTGGTGCCTTGTAAAGCTTTACATATTCTCCTCTCCTTTTAGTCAGTATAACAGAGCGTAGGCCACAGTACAGTCATACTTGATGCACATAGCTTACAACTGTATGTGGTTAAAGCACTCATTTGATTCTTCCTAAATCCATACAAAATGTAAGTCTCAAACTCTATAGTAAAAAACACTAATAGCATATAATTTCTGAAAAAACAGGATATCTTAAACTTAAGTTTTGTATTAAAGATAAGATACTTTTGGTCTGTGTTCACTATTTGCATTATAATTCAGAAGTGATGAATGTCTCACACCTGTGGATCTGATTGAATCAAACCATATCTAATATATGAAAGTATTCATACATGGTTTTTAATCTGCCATATGAAAATATTTTAATGACAAAATATAATAGGTGCTCATTAACATTGCCAAAGTATTAGCATAATCTTGAAAACATTAGCAAAGCGAGTAAGCTGCCCCTTAAATATCATGAAACTTTACTGAAAAAGACATTCCAAAATGAAGCTAGACAAGTGTCTGGAGTAAAGAAAATGATTAGGTGCAATAACAAACTCATTGTGGGAGGAGATGCACACCAGCTGCCGGATCCTCTTTCACATTTATGATGTTTTGATTGTTTAAAAAAACAAAACAAAACCACCCTACCTCTTAGTGGTGTTTTTTTTTTTAAATAATAATCCTGAGATAAAACTATTTGAAAGTTCATTCTATGGTGAGAAATGTTTAATGGCTGTGTAGAATGTTTAAAATAAATAAGATTTTATTATAGTCTTCTTTATATACCCATCATATCTTTATTCCTATCTTTTTAGAAAGATAGGGAGCACTAACAGACTGAATGGGATTCTACCCACACAGTTGTGGGCAGTGCCCACTGTGTGACTGGATGTACATTTCCAATGGGTGCATGTAATTTTCTAAACTATTAAAAAAAAAAAAAACCTCAAAAAGTTATTCCCCTTTATAGGCTAGATTCTGTTCACCTGTGAGGTGGTACATCAGTGCAACAGCACCCCCTCAGGTCAAGCATGACACAGCACTGGGGCTTACAGTCTAGCAGTCCTGATGCCCAGGAGTCTGAAAACATAGAATCAGAGAATATCAGGGTTGGAAGGGACTTCATGAGATCATCTAATCCAACCCCCTGCTCAAAGCAGGGCCAATCCCCAATTTTCACCCCACAGCCCTAAATGGCCCCCTCAAAGATTGAGCTCACAACCCTGGGTTTAGCAGGCCAATGCTCAAACAACTGAGCTATCCCTCCCCCCCAAACCTTTCCTCACTCGCAAGTTTTTCAGTATGGGAACCCACTCCACAGGGTTCCAGCTCTGATCCCTAAAGCTAGATAAGCAGGATCAGGATTCTTCAACGGACAGTGCTCTGAGCTCCTTCCTATCTTTCCCTGGATCTCTGCAGGCTCTCACCTGTTGGTCAGTTCATCCCCTCCTGAGCTGTTGTCTTTGGAGAGCTCTTTAGTAGCTTGCTGGCAGAAGCTCCTTTCTCTGGCCTGCTTACTCCTCTGGCAGCCACCTCACCTTTCTGCTTCCCAGCACTTTTATCCTCCCAGCTGCTGTGAGACTGCCAATCAGCAGTGGCTAGCAATGCTTGTAATAACCCTTTGGTTGCTAGCCTAGCTTGGGGTACATCCACCCCATGACAGCCTCACATAAGTAATTCTATTGATTCTGAGTAAGAGAAGGATGATTTCACTCTTCATAGTATTCTGCCTCCAACATAATCTATCATGATGCTATGTCTGATGCAGGAAAAGCATGCTGCTGGAGTCCTTGCACCCATTAAGGAAATGAGATTATATAGCCTATGCTGGAAGATGGAGCATACTCTGGAACAGCATATGCCAGCAGTAGAACATTGATCTCAACCCGTCCAGAATGTGACCATTGTTGGAGAAAAGTAACATTAATTTCTACTGTATTTCCATTTTATTTTATGATGTTGTACAACAAATGAATTTGAGTGCCTGTAGTTGGGACTGGTGTCTTGAAAAAGAATCCTCAAATGCATATAGGAATCTTCTACCCCATTATAGTCATGATAAATGTAACCGAGAATTCAAGCATTAATGGGGAGTCCTTATGACATTCTCCATAAAACTTGCAATATGGTTGGTAGGCAAAAATACGGAGTTAAATCCTGGTCCCACTGGAGTCAGTTGGCATTTTGGTATTGACTTCAGTGTGGACAGGATTTCACGCATAGTAGGTAAGAAAGAAGGCGGGAGGGGGGGAGACCTATATTGCTGAAATTGAAAAAGTATATTGTGCTTATCTGCTTTGGAGAAACCATTCCAGAGTAATTCATGAGTAAAAATAATCCTGCCAGGGTCACATTCAGGTGACAAATAATTTATGCACTCAGCCTTCAAGATTTTAAAAGTTTTAATAACATACTTGCAGTGTCCACTTGAGCCACTGTATCCTTTTTCCTACTTTTTCTGGGGCCTTTTGGACCCACTGGATTATACATCTGTCAAATTTCCCAACATGGTTACATAATTCTTGCAAGGAAGATGTTGCACAAGTTGAACAGATCCCAGGAAATTAACTTTTTAGTCTAATGGCACGACAATATTAGAATCATAGTACCTAAGTAAGAGCAGAATACAACTTTGCATGGATGATTAGATTTTTTGTTTGTTTTTAAATGAAGGATCTGCTACTGTATTTTTTCTGGGGACTCAGTTCAAACTGTGAAACTGATTTAAATCCTACTTCCCCCCGCCCCCATTTGTAGTAATAAAGTTTAAGATAAATTTTATATGTTTTATATTGGATCACTTCAACAGAGCACGACTACTGCATCCAATTTTTGTTTAAAATATAGATTACTATAGATAAATACAATATTTGTTGAAGACGCTGCAGCCATATAAAGTAAGTGAAAATTTTAGTATATTTTTATAAAAGTAATATGTTTCTGAACAGTGTGCATTTCTGCAACTTTAAAGAAAATCAGCCATGTGTGTAATAACAGTAATATAGGTAAGGTGTTCAGTGCAAATCCCAAATTTCACAGAGTAAAGAGGTCAGTTTGGGGTCTTTTGTCCTCCACATTACTAGCACTTCTGAATGGTTATGATTGAGGGTCCTGAGTTCGGTAAGCCTCCCTATGAGGCGTGCAAAATGCTGTGGATCTTCTGGATGATAAATTTTTGAATATTTGTACAAAATACCTAAAAGGGGTTCTTGGAGTTTTTCCACATGTTGTTTGTTTTTTAGGAGTGGGCGATCTGCAAAACAACAATAGTATATTAATATAATTTGGGAACCAAACTTGCTCACTTTATTTTCTATGAGTACTCCCATTAATTTTGGTGAAACTACTCATTTGAATGATGAGAACAGGATTTGACATAAATGAAAGGCATAAAATGAAATACAATGATTAGGAAAATTGAACTCAAGAAATATTACACATTGAGGAAAAATTATACCAAAAAAACAACCACATAATTAGTTACACACTTTTCGCTTCTTAGGACAGTGGCTTGAGCATGTTTGATTTAAAAGTGATCAGTTAATTTTTTTTTTAAGTTTTTTAAAAAATTGCACATGTAACATAATCAATCTTCATTAATCTGAAAGTTTACCTGAAAAAAATATAGTAGTTGCTACAAGTAGGGCATATTCCGTCTCAGTCACGTTAAGTTCTCCCATGCTTCTGTAGAAGTAAAATAGCGCAGTGATAAACTCCTCGGTGATACCTTCAGAAATGAAATCAAGCTATTGAAAAATCAATCCAGGAGCAAACTTGTGTTAATTCTTGTCAATTCATTTTCTCAAAAAAAACTTGAGTAATTTTAAAATACTCAAACTATTTAATCTCAAAATTATTCGCAAATTTTGTAAAAGAATGATCATTCTTGAGGTATTGAGAGCTCATCTACCTGTGGTAGTTGTGGAAGTTGGACTCTCTTCACTGTGAGATATTTCCATGGAATAAATAGTACTTTTATCAAGGTCTTGAACATGACAATACACAGCATGATCAGAAAATCTTACATGACCTAGAGCAAGGGAAACAATATTAAAAGTCCACTTTCTGCTTTTAACTTTACCCTATTTAAACATTGGGTTGCAGATGTTTTGCAAATGGGTCCTAGACAAGGGTGCACTATTTGTAAATCCAATACAGGGGATACACAGTACAGTTAAGTTCACATACCTCCCCACCCACCCAATACTCTGTTGTATAAACATTCCAGAAGCTCTGCTACCTCTTTGGGGCTAATGAGAGGCAAGAAAGGATCCATTTTATTGTTATTTGTTGGGGTCTTCTAAAAAAGTGAAGGATAGGTGGACATCATCATCAAAGCTATTATAAAAAACACCCTTCTATGCTTGAATGACAAACCCATTTAGGTGCAGTGTTCAGAGGAGCCAGGCTTGCTGAAAAAAATAAGTCAACAAATACAAAACTGTTGTTTGAATTCACACAACTGTTAGCATTAAAACTTACTTACTTTCACTCACTGATGATTGGCATTCATTAACTCTTTGATTATATATCTGGGCTGAACGCAAAAACATTGCTTCCACTGTTGAACCTTTTAACAATGCAATCTGGTCATCACTCGCTAAACTTTCAAATCCTGTAGGGAAGAATATTCAGTAAGACTCAAAATTAGGGGTTACTGTTTGGCCTCAGGCTACCAATATAAGTTACCAAAAATTGGGAGAATGATCACTTTAGATAAGCTATTACCAGCAGGAGAGCGGGGTGGGGGGAGAAAAAACCTTTTGTAGTGATAAACACCCATTTTTTCATGGTCTGTGTGTATAAAAACATCTTCTGTATTTTCCACAGTATGCATCCGATGAAGTGAGCTGTAGCTCGCTAAAGCTTATGCTCAAATAAATTGGTTAGTCTCTAAGGTGCCACAAGTACTCCTTTTCTTTTTGCAAAAATTATTAGTCTCTGGCTTTAAGAGACAGTAGGACCCGTAGTTGCATCAAAGGCAAGATACTTACACCAAGCAGTAAAGGAGCAATCACAGCTAGCAGTGTCTTGTGGTCTTTCTAGATATTTTACATTTACATAGGAATTGACATCATGGATCAGACCAGTGATCCATCTACTCCACCATTCTGTCTCTGACAGTGGCCAATACTAGAAATTTCAGAGGAAGGTGCAAGAAACCAGTAGAGAATTTTGGAATAACCTGCCCTGCAGCCTGAGAGCTTATGTTCCTATACATTTGTTATCTTGTCTGGTGTAACTGTGGATGGTTTGTTTAGCCACAGACACGTACTCCCCTCTTGGTCTCCTACAAGAGCAAGGGGACATTCAGTTAAATTGCAAGGATTTCTTAATCCTGATCAGCGCAGGTTTACTTAACGTGGTGGTAAACATTCCTGTTTTTCCACGAGTGCTACCACCAGTGAAGCTGTACCGGTGCTAGATAATTAGTGTGAAAATTCCTGCTGTAGACAAACCCAATATCTTTTGACAATGAGTTCTACAAATTAATTGTACACTGTGTAAAAAAAGTATCACCTTTCAACTAAATCAAATGTTCCCTTGTTTTTGTATTATACGAGAGGATGAATGGGAGTGCCCGATTTGTCTTCTCACACCATTCATTATTTTATCTCTATAGTGTACCTCTTATTTTTGACACAAAGTAACTTCACTTTTTGCTGTGACAAAGTGAAACAGAGTTCAGACAATAAGATGAACAACAGTTCACTTGAGATAGCATTTCTAATTGTACATTTTTGAGAAAATATGGCTCTATTCTCACATATTGTATATGATCGGATTTTTTGATTTGGAAAAAAGGTTGTGAATTGTTCTGTTATTGAAGCTAAATGTGTGTCATACATGTTGAGTTGGCTTCTTGAAAGAAAGAACAGGGAACTGTTTCTTTGTTTTTCAAATGCTAGCGAATTAATGGCCTTCCTAATTGTCATTTGCAGGGTTGTTGTAGCTTTGTTGGTCCCAGGATATGAGAGACACAACATGGGTGAGGTAATAATTTTTAGTGGACTAACTTCTGTTGGTGGAAGGAACAAACTTTTGAGCTTCACAGAGGTCTTCCTCAGTTCTAGGGAAGATAACCAGAGTGTCCCTAATTATTAACATTTGCAAGTAAAATTAATCAGTTGACTAGTTTCTGAACTGTATATCTTTTCTCAGAGTATGCATGCCACATAGATAAATGTCCTTCTTTTAGAGTAAGGCTAAATTATACTGCTTGTGGTGAAGAGTTTGTTAAATTATTTTATAAAGTTACCTGGGAGTCTCTTTGTGAAATCCACTAGTACTTGCACATGAACAACTGCTGTCTCTGAGAGCCTCAGAAAACTCTCTTCAGGGTTTGCAGTTTCCTGCAGCTGAATAAAAGAAAGAAAGATTATAAACATTTGGTATTGCCAAAATACACTAATATTATATTAATTTTTAATATTCTAGCAATTAATATCTTTGTATTGAGGCCTGTGCATTCTGAACACGTACAAACTTCTTTGCTTCCTCTAGGGGAATTGTATATTTTTGATGGGCAGCAACAATGTGATCAATAAGTTGATGTTCCACTGGAGTAAGTTCCATCCTCCCTTGGATCTTTAAAAAAAAAAAAAAAAATCAGATAAATGACAATACATGTGTGTTAAAGTAAAAATAATGTGTAACAATGAAAAGATACATTTTAAATAGGTAAAATCTCCCACTTTTCCAGATCTAGTTGTGGATGAAACATGCTTGCTGTTTACTCCCTCATCTTCCACCTTGATGCTACAAAGGAAACTGCTCTTCTGCTTGAAATTCTTTCGGAGTCGTTTTGATTTACACTGGACTTCAGTCAGCAAACCTGTAAGATATATAATTCTAGATCAAAGTACTTGTTAAAGTTCAAATACCTGTACTGTTCAAAACAAGCCCTTGTGTTATTATGCAGACTTTATAAAAGTCTGGCACCTCGGTAGCTTATCACCTATATGGAAAGCAGCTTCCTACCTATGAATGTTCTCAGCTAACAGGTAGTTCCAGGTTCTGCCTATGATGGTGGCAACATAATGAGTTTTGTCAGTCAATTCCTATCAATAGCCTAGATGTGGGCAGGGGTCAAACAGTCTGACGTCACATTCTCTTAACCTAGACTCTGTGCCATATGAACATAAGGGTTTCTCATGAAGAATGAGCATGGGCAAAATTTCTTTTTTCTCTTTTTTGTAACATGAAAGAATATTAAACACGCTTATGGAGATCAGTCACAGTTCACCACCTTTAGCTATCTCTTGTTGGCAATTTCATAGACCCTTCTGTGATTCAGTTAAGGTGCCTGACACAGCAATTCTAGATCATAAGTAAGTCTGCATCACTTTAGAGAGGATATTTCCCAAATACTGATGGCCAATATGGGTGGAAAGAGGAATACCACATATTCTCTGAACCTAGGAGAGGACCCTCCAAAGTTAAAACTTCCTAAAGCAAAATAAAGAAACTGGCTTTGAAAAATAGTATGCCAGAGAATTTGTTGCAGTTGTAAGGAGCAGTGGAGCACTTACATTCTGCCAACATTCCCACAGCCTTACACTTCTTCAGGCGACACTCCTGACACTTCCTCCGCATGTACATGTCCATTTCACAGTGGCCACCATTCTTGCATCTGTATATTGCATTTTTGGTAATACTACGTCGAAAGAATCCTAGAAACAAGATATTTTGGATGATGGGAAGGAATCTAAGAAATCTTTGTAATTCCACTCTCAATTATTTAAAGAGTTACTGTATGATGTTTCTACAATGAAAGGATCAGATGGTTAGATATTAGACTGATGACATTTTAATTCTCATTGATTACGTTCATTGCTGTTTTATGCCTAATATTAACCAGTGCTTGACCAAGGTAACTCCCTTTCTAGTGACAGGCACCTTACCAATAAAAAGAGGATCTATTAAGAGAGGCAGGAAATCAGCATACCTACCCAACCCCCCATTTTTAAGTAATGGCTCAAACCATATTCCAAGTAGGAGGTCTAACCAACACTAACACTTGACACTGTAGTTCCAAGAAAACTGAAATGAGCAAAATAATATAGGCCTGTTAGAGGCTGAGAACACAGCAAAGGCGACATGTTTAGCGACTTGGAAGAGGGGTGAACACTGAGGTGGCAAAGTTTGCAGATGATACAAAATTACTCAAGATTGTTAGAATCATAGAATATCAGGATTGGAAGGGACCTCAGGTAGTCATCTAGTCCAACCTCCTGCTCGAAGCAGGACCAATCCCCAACTAAATCATCCCAGCCAGGGCTTTGTCAAGCCTGACCTTAAAAACCTCTAAGGAAGGAGATTCCGCCACCTCCCTAGGTAACCCATTTCAGTGCTTTACCACCAAAGCAGACTTCAAAGAGTTAAAAAAGGGATCTCACAAAACTGGATGATTGAGGAACAAAATGGCAGATGAAGTTCAGTGTTAAAAAGTGTAGAGTAATGCACATTGGAAATCATAATCCCAACTACACATACAAAATAGGGTCTAAATTAGCTGTTATCACTCAAGAAAGACTTCTTGGAATCATTGTGGATAATTCTCTGAAAACATCCACTCTGTGTGCAGCAGCAGTCAAATAAGCTAATAGAATGGTAGTCGGAACCACTAGGAAAGGTATAGATAATAAGACAGAAAATATCATAATGGCACTGTATAAATCCATGGTACACGACATCTTGAATGCTATGTGCAGTTCTGATTGCCTGTGATGGGGTGTACTCCCCACTCCAGCCTTGAAAGAGATGAATTAGGCCAGGTAGGCCCAATCAGTTAAGATGCAACTGTGTGGAGGCTGCCAATGAGAAGGAAGCTGTGAGGGAACCAGCAGGAGTCCAGCAACAGTGTGGGAGGCAGCAGGGAGGAAGCCTGCAGTCTCTCTCCCTGAAGCAAGGAGAAGGAAGGGGAGATAAACCTTTTCTCAGGGGTTTCTATCTAGTAGGCTTAACAGAGAGGAGAAGGCTGATGAAAGAGAAACTGAAAGAAGCATGGTAGGAAGTAGTCCAGGGAAGTCCAGACCTTAACTGCTCACTATAGGGCACTGAACTGGAACCCAGATTGGAAGGCAAGCCTGGGTTCCCCTACCATTTACTGCAGAGTGGTATTGCTAGGGGGCAGTGAATGGAAAACTGTCTGAGTCACTGCAGCAATGATATAGTCAGGGAAGCGGGCATAAGGACTGCCTGACACTGCTTGTGAAGGGGGACATTGACAGACTCCCGGAAGGGGAAATCACAGTGTATCCTAGTCACAAAGCAGCCATACTGTGACTCAGTGAACAGGAGAAGAGCCACAACAGTGAAAAAGAAGAAAGGGGGTGATTCCCAAAATTGCCAGTAGGGGATGCCACCCAGTGATGAGTAGACCACCCTGTGACACTTCCCCCTCTCAAAAAAGATACATTAGAATCGGAGAAAGTACAGAGAAGGGCAACAGCAGTGATTAGGGGTATGGAACAACTGCCATCTGAGAAGAGATTAAAATGACTGGGGACTGTTTAGTTTAGAAAAGAGGTGACTAAGGTGAGATATGATAGGGGTCTATAAAATCATGAATGGTGTGGAGAAAAATGAATAAGGACGTGTTTTTTATCCCTTCACATAACACATGAACAAGAGGTCACCCAATGAAATTAATAGGTAGCAAGTTTAAAACAAAAATAAGGAAGTATTTCTTAACACAATTCACAGTCAACCTATAGAGCTTGTTGCCAGGGAATTTTGCGAAAGCCAAAAGCATAACTGGGTTAAGAAAAGAATTAGCTACGTTCATGGAGGATAGGTCCATCACTGGCTATTAGCCAAGATAGTCAGGGATGCAGCCCCATGCTCTGGGTGTCCCAAAACCTCTGACTGCCAGAAGCTGCAACTGGATGATGGGGGAGGGATCCCTCGATAGATGCCTTGTTCTGTCCATTCCCTCTGAAGCATCTGGCAATGGCCACTGTCGAAGGACAGTATACCAGGCTAGACAGATCATTGGTCTGACCCAATATCACCATTCTTATGTTCTTATGAGTGCCACACACCACTTTGTAGGGATCGCTTTGGCCATTGTCAGAGCTGTATTATCTGGTTCCTGAGAAATGAGTTGGTTTCCATGAAAAAGGAACTTTGATAAATGCAAAATCGCAGTGATCCTCAGGGATCCAAGCCCAGCAGAGAGAGAAAAAACACAGTAATACATAGGCATTATGAGCCAAAGTCACCACCCGCATAAGCAGACACAACTTTACTGAAGTCAGCTAGGCCCGAGAGTGATGTGTAGCACTGTGTGAAATCAGTTTTCACCTCACATAATGTTTACTATGAAAATAGATATTAATTAAATTCCACAAAAATGTGAAACTGGGACCAGTATTATAATGTATTATCTGTTTCTGATAGCTATGTGCTAAGCACTTTTCAAATGCAAAAGAGTGCACGGTCCTTGCCCTGAACAACTTAGAAGCTAAAAGACAAGCAGGCAGATAAAAGATAGAGGAAGAGGAGTAATATGGATGAAATGGTCAAGGGGGTAGTTATCCATTGCAACATATTGCTTGAATAATATTAGCTTTGTGTGTGTGTTGTATGATAGAGTTCCAGAATTTTCCCAACCTATAGTTCTCACAGCAGCAATAGATCTCAAGGAGAGATTTTAATGTAGTGAGGGTAGTGGTCGAAGACTTCTGTATGCAGTGGGAGCAGCAGGGAGGGAGAAGGGTGGAGATTTTTTTTTGACATACCTGAGAAATGAGTGGATGAGTCTGGCATCATTGGTGGAACAGAGGAGATGGGGCAGCATGTAAAGAGACAAGGGTAGATAAGTACAGAGGAGTTGAGTTATGTAGATACTTGAAAGCAAGGACAAGAAGAGGAGTCTGATGAGCAGAGAAGGAGCAGTCAGTAGTGGGATTCAAAGGGGAAGATCCCATAAGTTATTCCACTCTTCAACTAGACTTCAGCTGTCCTCCAAAATGTCAATTGAAAATTAACATAAATATGTTAATTTAAAATTGCACATGTGGAATTTCAGCATGCTGCACTGATTAATATGGGGCAGTTTTCTTTCAAGTCACAAAATAAAAGTATTTCTCCCTTACCTTTACAGCCTTCACAAGTGAGCGCGTTGTAGTGGTATCCCGAGGCTTTGTCCCCACATACAACACAGAGCTCTTCCTGACCCTTCATTCGCAAGGAGGAATGACTTAGTCTTGGCCTTTTTAGTCTATGATATCCATCATCATCATTATTATGGGCAACCATGCAGGAAGGCTGGTTTAATTCACAATTACTGATTATGTACTGCCCATCACTGTACTGAGAATCCAGGCTGTATGTGTTGTATTGTGACTGGGAAGGTTGTGACTGTAACACTGGAGGAAACTGAACAGTTGAATACTGGCAGTAAGGAGTAGCCTGAAAGTCTGAGTCTTGTAGCTGATAATTGATGTGCTCTGGCAAAACATCTAGATAATGAAAAAAATGAGAATGAAACAAAAAGGTTGTGGAAGAATTTGTGACTTCATTTACCTGAAAATATTAAATTATTTTTATAATGTGTCAATATTAAGATAAATTTTCAGAAGGGTAGCTTCACTTTTGCACCTAAAAATTGGTGCCTGCAATTTTTCTTAGTAAATTCTTTTCATGTGTTTGGTCAGTGTCATATTGTGGGCTACTGGAATCCTGTAGATTAGTAATTTAATTTTCCATAGATAGTTAAATTGCAGGCAATTCAGGTAGTGAGAATTTGGTGTACTCAGACTTATGCCTGCAGTTCATTAATGATGACTAAGGTTGAGCTCCAGAAAAGAGACCGGGTGTCAGTCCAGCAGAAAATTTACCCCTAAATAAACAAACATTTTAAGTAAGGAAACATTTTTGTTTTGTATTAAAAACACATTCCAGGTACACTATATGAAAATGAAAAAAGGATTAACAAGCAGAGAAGGACATTTCAGAAATTCCAAAGGGTGACATATTTTACCATCACATATACATCTCAAAGCTGATATTCAATAGACCACAAATGCCAGAACATGTTTTATTTAATATTTCTCTGTGTAACCCAGATTTCATATAGTCATACTTGCATTTTCAGTAATATGTTTGTACAGTGTTGTGATAGGAGTTGTTTTTAGTTATTTATCATGCTTGCAGTTGATCTAAATATGAAACAAAATGTACAAGAATCACAGAAATGTAAGGCTGGAAGGAACCTTGAGAAGCTATGAAGTCCAGCCCTCTGTGCTGTGGCAGGTCAAAGTAAACCTGGACCATCCCTGACACGTGTTTGTCCAACATGTTTTTAAAACCTCCAATGATGGGGATTCTACAACCTCCCTTGGAAGCTCATTCCAGTGTTTAACTACCTGTATAATTAGAAAGCCCTTTACATATATGAAGGCTTATCAGGTGCCCACTCTGTCTTCTTTTCTCCAGACTAAACATTCCCAGTTTTTTAACCCTTCCCAGCATGGTCCCCTGCAAATTTTATAAGCATACCCTCCACTCCAATATCCAAGTCATTAACAAAAATATTGAATAGTACTGAAGCTATTACTGCCCCTGCAGGACCCCACTAGATATGCCCCCCCCACCCCTCAAGTCTGACAGCGAACCATTGATAACTACTCCTGGTGTACATTTCTGCACCCATCTTATAATAATTTCATGTAGACCACATTTCCCTAATTTGTTCATGATGGTCACATGGGACCATGTCAAAAGTCTTACTAAAATCAAGATATATCACATCTATTGCTTCCCCCTTATCCACTGGGTTAGGAACCCCATCAAAGAAGGTTTGGCATGATTTGTTCTTGACAACTCCATGCTGACTATTCCTTATCCTATTATCTTCCAGATGCTTACAAATTGATTGTTTAATAATTTGTTTCAATATTTTCCAGGTATGAAAGTTAGGCTGATTAGTTTATAATTCCTCACGTCCTCCTTGTTCCCCATTTTAAAGAGAGATACTATATTTGCCTTTCTCCAGTCTTCTGGGACTTCACCTGCCCTCCAGGAGTTCTCAAAGATAATTGTTAATGGTTCTCAAAAAGAAAAGGAGTACTTGTGGCACCTTAGAGACTAACAAATCTATTTGAGCATAAGCTTTCGTGAGCTACAGCTCACTTCATCGGATGTATTCAGTGGAAAATACAGTGGGGAGATTTATATACATAGAGAACATGAAACAATGGGTGTTACCATACACACTGTAAGGAGAGTGATCACTTAAGGTGAGCTATTACCAGCAGGGAAGTGGGGGGGGACGGGACATAATGGACCTTTTGTAGTGATAATCAAGGTGGGCCATTTCCAGCAGTTAACAAGAACGTCTGAGGAACAGTTGGCGGCGGGGGGGGGGGGGGGGGATTAACAAGGGGAAATAGTTTTATTTTGTGTAATGACCCATCCACTCCCCGTCTCTATTCAAGCCTAAGTTAATTGTATCCAGTTTGCAAATTAATTCCAATTCAGCAGTCTCTCATTGGAGTCTGTTTTTGAAGTTTTTTTTGTTGAAGAATTGCCACTTTTAGGTCTGTAATTGAGTGACCAAAGAGATTGAAGTGTTCTCCCACTGGTTTTTGAATGTTCTAATTCTTGACGTCTGATTTGTGTCCATTTATTCTTTTACGTAGAGACTGTCCAGTTTGCCCAATGTACATGGCAGAGGGGCATTGCTGGCACATGATGGCATATATCACATTGGTAGATGTGCAGGTGAACGAGCCTCTGATAGCGTGGCTGATGTGATTAGGCCCTATGATGCCATGTACATTGGTCAAACTGGACAGTCTCTACGTAAAAGAATAAGTGGACACAAATCAGACATCAAGAATTATAACATTCAAAAACCAGTCGGAGAACACTTCAATCTCTTTGGTCACTCGATTACAGACCTAAAAGTTGCAATTCTTCAACAAAAAAACTTCAAAAACAGACTCCAACGAGAGACTGCTGAATTGGAATTAATTTGCAAACTGGATACAATTAACTTAGGCTTGAATGGAGACTGGGAGTGGATGGGTCATTACACAAAGTAAAACTATTTCCCCTTGTTTATTCCCCACCCCCACCCCCCACTGTTCCTCAGACCTTCTTGTCAACTGCTGGAAATGGCCCACCTTGATTATCACTACAAAAGGTCGTCGTCGTCCCCCCCCCCCCGCTCTCCTGCTGGTAAGAGCTCACCTTAAGTGATCACTCTCCTTACAGTGTGTATGGCAACACCATTTTTTCATGTTCTCTATGTATATAAATCTCCCCACTGTATTTTCCACTGAATGCATCCGATGAAGTGAGCTGTAGCTCACGAAAGCTTATGCTCAAATAAATTGGTTAGTCTCTAAGGTGCCACAAGTACTCCTTTTCTTTTTGTGAATACAGACTAACAGGGCTGCTACTCTGAAACCTGTTAATGGTTCTGAGATTGCTTCAGCTGGTTCCTTAACTACCCTAGGATGAATTCCATCAGGCCCTGCTGACTTGAATGCATCTAGTTTATCTAAATATTCTTTAACCTGTTCTTTCCTTTTGTTAAGAATGTGTGCATATTTCAGTACATTATGTATCATGTTTCAGTCTACTTTTCAGGCCTGATCCAAAGAGCACTGAGGTATCTTGAAAGACTTTTTGCCTTCAGTGGGCTTTTGATCAGGACTTTAGTGTTCACACATCCTTAGCCAGATACTAACTTCAATTATATAGTAACACTGGAGCAGGAGCAATAGTCATAGGGCCTTTACAGTATGTCTGGAATAGTTTAATGACACCTAGACTTTTAACCTTTGTGTACCAGAGGATGACAAAAACTGCTCCATGCAACCCTGGGATAAAACTGATGGTCAGCATATCACACTGAATGCACAGATTTTTGTATCTGAATTATTTTAATGAATTTTGAATCTCTCTCACTGGATATTTCAGATTCCAAGGCCAGGAGGGACCACTGTGGTCATCTAGTCTGACCTGTACAACAAAGGCCCTGGAGCTTCCCCAAAATAATTCCTAAATTCCATATTTTTTAGAAAAACATTGAATCTTGATTTTAAAATGTACAGTGATGGAAAATCCACAGTGACCCTTGGTAAATTGTTCCAGTGGTTAATTACCCTCACCATTAAAAATTATACCTTATTTCCAGTCTGAATTTGTCTAAGTTCAACTTCCAGCCATTGGAACATGTTATACCTGTCTCTGCTAGGGTGACTAGTCCATTGTCAAATATTTGTTCCCAAGGTAAGTACTTATAGACTGTAATCAAGACATCCCTTAACCTTCTCTTTGTTAAGATCAGCAGATTAAGCTCCTTGAGTCTATCACTATAAGGCATGTTTTCTAATCCTTTAATCGTTCTCATGGCTCTTCTCTGAACCCCCTCCAGTTTATCAACATCCTTCTTGAATTGTGGGCACCAGAACTGGACACGCTATTCCAGTAGGCGGTCACACCAGTGCCAAACACAAAAGTAAAATAAGCTCTCTATTCCTATTTGAGATTCCCCTCTTTATGCACTCAAAGATCACATTAGCTCTTTTGGCCAGAGCATCACTTTGGGCGCTCATATTCAGCGATTATCCACTACGACCCCCAAATCTTTTTCAGTCACTGATTCCCTGGATAGAGTCTCACATGACATCCGGTAAGTATGGCCTACATTCTTTGCTCCTAGATGTTACATTTAGCAGTATTACACCACATTGTTTTCTTGCACCCAGTTTACCAAGCAACCTAGATTGTGACATGTCCTCTTAGTTATTTACCACTCCCACCAATTTTTGTATCATCTCATACTGTATCAGTGATGACTTTACCTTTTCTTTGAAGTCATTAATAAAAACGTTAAATAGCATAGGGCCAAGAACTGATCCCTGTGGGAGCTTACTAGAAACATACTTGCTTGATGATCATTCCCCATTTGAATGTATAAGTGCCAAGATCTTCAAGGTAGGCACCTTTTGTAATAATAAACCAAAAGAAAAGAGTAACTGCTGCAGACAATCTTTCCGAGTTTTCATAATACTTTCATTTTGCTTTACTCACCATAATATTGAATGGGTTCAGCAAGACAGTACCCATCAGATACAGTTACAAAGGTATTTGCCATACTCTGCTCCAGCTCCAACTGTTTCATTCACTTTGGTGTATGATGGGCTTTTAAGAAGAAAATCTGAGGAAGTAGAACATTGCCTGTTACTTCAAAAGGCAAGACTCGGCCTTTCATTAGAAAGAAGACAAACATTACTTCAGAAAGAATTGTGGGAGGCAGGTTAAACAGCCCTGAACAAAAAGAAACCTCTCCAGAAAATGAGGCCATTTGCAAATTATGAGAGAAATTCAGATAGGTAGAAAGTCACTGTGAGTCTACATTTCAGACTGTGTTGGTGCTAATGAACAGGGTTGAGGATTCATTTATAAGTCTTCTCATGTTGTTGATTTTACTCTAAACTATGTTCCCATCCCAAATAATTAGACGAGGATTAATATTCCCCAACACTAATCTCATAGTTAGCTGTGGAATTGCTCTGAAGCCACTACTGCAGCCTAAAGTCTGGCGCGAAATGATTGTCTGACGTTGCTTTCACGGAGGGAGGGAGGGCCTGGCTACATGTACCCAGAACCACCCGCGACAATGTTTTTGCCCCATTAGGCATTGGGATCTCAACCCAGAATTCCAATGGGTGGCAGAGACTGCGGGAACTGTGGGATAGCTACCCACAGTGCAACGCTCCGGAAGTCGATGCTAGCCTCGGTACTGTGGAAGCACTCCACCGAGTTAATGCACTTAGAGCATTTTGTGTAGGGACACGCACTATCGACTATATAAAAACGATTTCTAAAAAAACAACTTCTATAAATTCGACCTAATTTCATAGTGTAGACCTATCCTTAGTGTCCTTCTCTTCCCTCCACAGTGGTGAAGGATTAGGGGAACTGCATTGATTAAAGGTACCAGTCGATTTGACTTCTCCAGAAGAGATCAGGCTCCAAAGGGGGCCTCACCACTAAAATATTAATGGTCTCTCCTTTAGCAAAGAGGAGGGATGACAAAGATGAAGGAGGCAAATAAGCATATGGGAAAAATAAAAAGTGCATGATAGGAGTGAGTTCAGAGGGTCAAAGAGATGAAAAGTACCAGTCTGATAGCCTTGGACTCAGAAGTTCTGTGCATATCCCCAGAGCAAGTACAGGATGGGCAGTGACAGAGCAAATTTCTGGCCAGCACTATCCCCAACCAATATGCTTCAACTCAGCTCTGGAGGAACCATCTGTAGAGATGAGAAGGGACATTAACTCTCCATGGCTCACTCGGTTCTTGGCCCCTCTGTTGAGCTTTGTGACCAGTAGAGGGGTGAGGCAGACAAGGGTGTCAAATTAGCACTAATTGTGATGTTGATTTTGCCATTTTATACAACACAGAATATCACAAATGAAAGCTCATTCTGTTAACTGTGAAGTTGCTGTAATGCCTATGAAAATGTTGTATGCTAGAGAACCTTCAGATTAACACCTACTGAACTGGGCTGAAAATACTGTAATTATACCACATTTCTGACTATTGAAATCATCACAGTAAAGCTATTTTAGGTAATATTTAGAAGTTTTTAAAGTTGATTAATAATTATAATTTTCTCTCTAAGTACTGAACAGTTGGACTTATGGAAAAGAGGCGACTAAGGGGGGATATGATAGAGGTCTATAAAATCATGAGTGGTATAGAGAAAGTAAATGAGGAAGTGTTATTTACTCCTTCTCATAATACAAGAACAAGAGGCCACTAAATGAAATTAATAGGTAGCAGGTTTAAAACAAACACAAGAAAGTTTTTTCACATAATGCACTGTCAACCTCTGGAACTCCTTGCCAGAGGGTGTTGTGAAGGCCAATACTATAACGGGGTTCAAAAGGGAGCTAGGTAGAGTCATGGAAGATAGGTCCATCAATAGGTATTAGCCAAGATAGGCCGGAATGGTGTCCCTAGCCTCTCTTTGCCAGAAGCTGGGATTGGGTGACAGGGCATGGATCACTTGATGATAACCTGTCTGTTCATTCCCTTTGGGGCACCTGCCATTGGCCACTGGCAGAGGACAGGATACGGGGCTTGATGGACCTTTGGTCTGACCCAGGATAGCCGTTCTTATGATAAGTAAGGCACCTTACTTCACAGGAGGAGGGATAAAAGGAATGCCTGGTTAAAAAAAAAAATTAAAATTGTCTAAAACATTTCTAAAATAGACTATGTAAAATATGTAGTGTGTACAAAACATATGCTGTAATTGAAAACTTGTATGAAATGCTGAAATGTGCTACAGAAAAAGAATATAGTATATACTCACACTGTGGATACATCTGTATTTGAGCTGGGAGATGTGATTCCCAGCTCGCATAGAGGTACTCAAACTAGCTTTGCCTCAGTCACATCCCCAAGCTGAAATGTAGATGAACCCTAAGGGAGATGCACCCAATATTTTACATTTCCACTAGAACTTTTATCCCAAAGAAATTCACAGTTGATACACAAAATGACTGAACTGCAGCCACCAAGCACATAGTATGCTCCACTGTGGTTTGGGGAGGATACTAGGTTAAACTCTTACGGTATGTCTACATTGCAGCTTAGAGCACTCCTCCCAGCCTAGGGAGACAGACACTAACTTTGCTGTAACTAGCACATTAAAACCATCAGTGTAGACATTGCAGCCTGGGCAGCAGCATGGCCTAGCCACCTAAGCTTGGATCCACGGGGTTGGGCAGACTTGTACTCGGGTGGGTAGCCTATGCTGCAACATCCATGCTGCTATTTTTAATGCTCTAGCTTGAGTGAAGCTAGCATGTGCCTACCCAAACTTGTAGGCACGCTTTCTTCTGCGGTGTAGACATATCCATACTCAAAGAAAATGATGGCGTCATGGGATCTGTAATGACTCCTGCAGAGCAGATAAGAGCTTGGATCTTAAGGGCTCACCTGAAAGATGGTCACAGCAGGCTACATGGAATAGTTTACTGTACCTGAGAAGATGATTTTATGACATCAGGGAAACTGAACTGAAGCCAATTCTTAAGGTATATACACCTCCCCTCCCAAAATACATATTAATACCCTCCCCCAACATAGACATATCCATGGAATAGAAAACTTTCCCCTCATGTCACCAGCACAAGGAGAAAAGGTGCTGTGAGGCTGGAATGCTGCCATTTTGTTATCTCTGCTAGTAAATATTTGTTTGAAAGAGAAGTGACTCAGTGAATCATGGTGGGGCCCCTTATCAATCAGATCAATTTGGCATGGACAAAGTCTAAATTTTTTCCTTTGGTAAATATGCTTTTTTTTAAACTGATGGAAGTATGTGTTTCCAACATCCTTTTGATGGTGGTTCTATGTGAAAGTATTCCAAAGTAAAATAAAGTTACATTGATTGAGTCTATAAAAAAAGTAAATTGAGTTTACAGAACCCACATTCACATCTGTAATGTGTCTAAATTGATCCTGATGTAATGAACCAGTCTTTATTCAGGCGAAGCTTCCACTGATTTAAATGAGTGTTGTTTGAGAAATGATTTCAGGATTGGGCTCTTTGTGATGGTCTTTCAAGGTCATGGAGAAACAAAAGTTAAATTATGCTCTATATTTCGTTCAAAAAATAACATAATATTAAGGTTGCATAGCAAAGCTCTCCAAAATTAGGAAATGCCAAAGTTATGATTGAACATTCAACTTTATTTCTATCATCTTGTGTTTTATGCATTTCAGTATGGGGCTAGTTCCACAAGAGGAGATAGGTGCCAACATTTAGGCACCATGGAGATCCTCAAAATTCTTGCTCTGCTGCTACCATCTAACCCTGGAGGCACCTTAAGTGCCTACATATCTATATTCCCACTGTTAAATTCCCTAGTCACTGAATTTTCTGCCAGTGAGCATACCTACAGTTGCTTCAGTCTAAGCATACCATGCCTATCTCACACTTAAGCCCCAGTGGGATACTCAAATTAGGCATTTCCTGTCTATCTACCCTGCGGGATGCAACGCAATATGCGTAATCACAGCATGCCTAACCCCACATAAAACAGCCAGACTGGGGGAGGAGATGGTAGCCTCCCTTATAATCTTTAACCAAGTGATTAAGGAACTCACCCAGGCTGTGGGAGACCCAGACTCATTTCCCTCCTCTGCCTGATGTGGAGAAGGGATTTAAACTTGGGGTGTTCCTCCAGTTAGCTGAGTGCCCCAATCACTGGACTATAGAGTCAGTCTGACATGCTGTCTGACCCAGTACATATTTAATTATGTATACAAAGTGGTATAACTTTAACAGGGGAAACCAAGAGAGGGACACTCAGCTAGTGGTTCGGGCACTCTCCTGAAAAGACCCAAGTTCATATTAATTCTCCATAGCAGGTAGATGGGGGAATTGAACCTGGATTTCTCACCAGCTCGTTGTGGGTCCTAACTACTGGGCTAGAGATTATAAGAGGACTACTGCTGCTACCGACTCCTGCCCCCAACATTTCATGTAAAAACCAACAACTTAGGTGCCTAACTCCAGAAGAAGATTCACAGCAGAGAATCCCAGCAGAGATAGGCGCCTAGTTCCTTGCAAGGTAGCCGTCTCTAATCTCTTAGACTTTACGAGGTCTTCAGGGACTGAACCAAGAACTCTTTGGAAGTATTTCCTCAGCCCACATGTTTACATGCAGTATTCCTTTCACATACTCTCAGTTAGGCATCCATATATACAGAACACAGCCTTCCTTAGTTGCCTATGCTGAACTTAGCAAAAAAAAATGCAATTGCTCAGCATGCAATTTTCAAAGTATCATAACTTGATCAAATCATAACCAGATTTCACCAGAACACTCAAAACCTCTTCTCCCCAATGACAGCTGTTTCTCTGACAAATGTTAATGTTTTATCCCAAACAGAAGAGTTAGCACCATTTTTTTTTATAATGGAAAAAGATTACACACACACTTCTCTTATTTGACCATTACTTACACTTTAAAAAGAAAAGACAAAAAAAAAATCTTTGCACAGAGATGAAGCTGGGGAATCTTAACCTAAAAAGTAAGTTTCTGAAAGTTGCAACTGAAAACGGGGTGATAGACTGGGAACTGTGATGCACCCCTTAATTAGAGCAATTACTATCATATCAGTTATCTAGGATCTCAATTAGTGCCACACTTAGGTCCCAACACTTTAGCCCTTAGTTAGGCTGCCTTCAGATGAGTTTTTCCTGGATAAGGATACACGTTACGCCCTGCTCATTTTTTACTGTTTCTGATCTTATTCCTGCTAAGCCTTTTGTATGGAAAGTCTTTTTTCCTAGTTTTTAGGAAGCATATAAAAGAAATAAAATGTCCTTTTCACAATGACTTAGGGTAAATTTTTCAGAAGTGCCTAATTGATTGACAAACATTAAAGTCAATGGCACTTAGGAGCCTAAGTAACATAGGCACGTCTGAAAAATCATACTGTTTTGCTTTTCTAACCTTATTTTTGATAGTATTAAATCTCCAGCAGGTGACAAAATGTAAACTGGAACATCTACTGAAACAGTAGGTTAGCCATCCACTGTAAATCTTGCATGTCGTACAAAGGTTCAAGAATATTCAGCTATTAATCCAAATCAAAGGATTCATCACTCATCTTCAGTTTATCAAAAGTTAAGGGAAAGTGATGTTTTAATGTATAAAAAGTAAAGTATGAACTCATGACACAAAACCATCTGAGTCACTTACCAGAAGTCACGTATACAAACTAAAGACATACTGTGCATCTGTTTTCATGTTATTAATGGCAGAAGATGCTATGTTGTTTTTCATAATTTTATTACCATGTGGAACATATTTCTTTAAGAAGACCCTCCAGGGAGCTCTTCAAAATGTCTGAATTGACAGTACATTAACATCTATCGTAAATATTTTGACAGTTGTGTCAAAACGGAAATTTCTTGTTCCAAAGGAATTTCAGGAACTTGGGCTGAAGGTCTTTTAGATTTATTTAGTGCACCCCATATCCTGGGAAAGAAAGCATGAATGAACAACCACATGAATTAGGCAGTGGATTTCAATCTCAGTTTTAATCCCAGCTTTGTTTGGTCTCCAGAGAGGGAGTTGTACTTTCTGAAGTTATGAAAATTAAAGCAAGAATTGACAGGAAGTTACCAGCCACTCTCACTGGCTACTATATTCTGATATCCCAGGTAGTATATTTGGCTGCATTCAAAAGGCAATCCTCTAACCACCTCTGTGATTAAACTAAGTGTGGATTCATTTGCAAAGAAAGCTAATAGAATCAGATAACATAGTGCTGCATAAATCATGCCTTTTAATAATATGAGCTCTTGTGGGGATTTTTGTTTTTTTAATATGTGAAGAATCCCAAATTAAACTGCTGTCTGAGGAAAGCTTCACCCCCCACCCCACCCCATAAATAGTATTTGCTCTGTTTATTGGTCTGTATGGTGCGTTTTTGGGGACTTTCTGTAACTGGGATTGCTTTATCCATTGATGGATAGTTTTGTATGTGACGATTTTGTAATCTCTGCTACTTATCTTTTAAATAATGGCTATGTGTCTAATTATTTAAAAGGAATAATTTAAATAAATTGGAAAAATAAAGGGAGGCAGGTCCTTTATCACCGTACAGCTTTGATGTCTGCGTGTCTGGTTTGTGGAGAATGGGTAACATTGAAATGGATCCACCACTAAAAAAAAAAAAAGTTAGTTTAAAAGGACATCAAGAATTACATTTAATTTATTTTTACACAGTTCACAGACACATTTGTGCCTCAGACACCAGATTTACCACCAAATCTAATCCTGAATGTTGCACAGAATCCTTGGGGCTCAGAAGCTGCCATTGCATAATTACATGACTAAAATACTACTATTTATATTGCACTGAATTTTGCACTTCCTTGTTATCGTCAGGAGGGGAAAATGCATCTCTTGAATGGCCAGTATATTGTAGGTCACCAAAGCAGTTTACATATGTATAATACTCCTGAAACAAAACGATTGGCAGTAAAGAACACCTTATTTTAAAGGTATACATTTTTCTATTGTTCCTTGATCAGCATTTCAAAAATCAGATGACAAAAGTGTTCTAAACTGCAAATATCTTAATAGCGCACAGTTAATTTGTGTGTAGACTGATATTGTAAAATCCCCAAGCTTTTAGAGAACTAAATAAAATACTTACGTACAGTAGTTCTGGAGAGAATGCCCTCTCTTCCTAGAGTGGGTCTGTGAGGATGCAGCAGTTACTTCAACTTTCTGATTTCCAGCTGGAGCAAACTGGGCCTTTTCCCTATTTATCAGTTTCTTTGCATACACTTCGGCTCCAGACACTCTGCAGACCAACGCTTCAGCCTATCTGAGACACAAACTTCCCACACAGCCCTTCCTAGGGTCAAAGCAAGGGCAGTTGCAAGTCCACATAAATCAAATAATAACTGTATCATCAGGGACAGAGGCCATTGGGACTCTCACGTCATACTTTCCCAGAGTTCTCTCTAGGCAGCTTACTAAATATTTTGCTTTCTTGATAGAATTTGACATTCTCCTAATTTGATTGCTTAACACTGGCATCTCTGCACATTAATAGATAACATACATTGCAATAGTATTATTTTAACATGTATATGTGCCGTAATAAATTGAATTTGGAAACTTTGTGAAGCCACTATCTCTAAACTATGTAAACATTGAACTTTTTCTACATGTTTTAATTTTAACATACGTGCTGCTGTATTGTACAGGAAGATTAATCCATGTCTCCATTACACATTGACTATAGTTTTGCCATTTGTAACAGTTGCCTAAGTGCTGACAAACAGCTGTGTATTTTATAATTTGAACATACCTAGAATTCTACAGCTCAGGATTACTCAGGATCCCAACTGCACATAATTCTGATGTGCACACCTCCAGAATGGACTCTAGAGAAGTTTAGGAAATCTCTGTATGTGGGTCTTTTGGAGTGATTTTCTGTTGTTTCTTTTCATTTATAAAACGTTGCATAATCTGGCCATTGGCATTCTTAACTGCCCATGAAGTAGTTAGTGCTGCTTTTTCATTTAAGTTAACCAGAATAATTTGTGCTACATTGTATTATGCACACTTTTGTAGTATGGTGCTGTTCTGTATTGTATTCTAGCATATTGCATTGTAGTTGAGCTGTCTTAGAGAACAGCAGTCTAGCTATATTTCTTTATACCAATTTCACTTTTGTGAAAGAACTCAAAGCTCCTCCATTTTGAAAGATTTTTGTTGATTTAGCTATTCCAGCAATGGGCTTTCAGGACTTCCTAGGGTACGATTTAAGATTTTTGGAGTCAGGGCCTTCTCTCATTAAGCACCATGATTCTCCTACTCCCTGCCTGATATGATGTTGAGTAAGCATCAGATGGTTTAAATTTGGACTCAGGTCACATTTCATATTTGCCCCTGGTTTTACTGACATTTCATATTTACAACAGCAGTTTTTGCAGTTACTGCAGGAATAGCTGCTCATTATTATACTTTTTTTTGCTATGACAAAAGGCATGACTTCTCATTTTTTGCCATAGATTGTTCACAAGAACCAGTCAACCTTGATAGCATATCTTAGTTCCCAACACAGCAAATTACTTCAAACAAACAAGTCAAAATAATCATGAGGCAAATAATCAGTATAAACTGATTTACAAATTGTTTAGCAATAAGGCATAGCTCAGGTTTGAAAACACTACTTACCCTATCTGGTCAACAGCATGATGGCAAAGGAAATCACCCAATTCAGTGAGCATGCTTTGCTTGACTGGGAAGGTTTACTTTATTTGACTCATACATTCAGGCTCCAGAGATTGATAGAACAGGTTGTGTTATGTCAGGAACTGGAGGCTGGAAATACCACGGTACAGTGTATGGAAGGCACATATAAATTCATATTCAAGAATAATCAGCTGTGATAATGCTGTGGGTCTGACCTGAAAGACCCTCTTATATTTGTCATGTCACACTACTTTGGAGGCCTCATTTTATTCATTAGCATCATTGTGGGCCCCTCTACAGGCCATCCTATGGGGTGAGGATGTCTCCATCTATTCAATGGCCTAAAAAATGTGATGAGCGTCTTCTGGAGTCTGAGCTCAGCAGACAGCTTATACAGAAAGTTGCTGTTCCTGAATCGTGTTTTATGTTCCAAGCCCAGCATCAATCTGAACCATAGAATTCAGAACTCTTATGGGTTTGAGTTCTCAGGAGATCTTGTCTATAAATGGTTTGGTATTCAGATAGTTAAAGGAAATCATATCTGGTCCAGCTGGATCTTTTCTGCATAACTGACCCTTCCTGCTTGATCTGGCATTGGATTGTTTATGCCATGTCAGTAATTAACCACTATCAACCTCATTAATGAAACATAAACCACCTCTTCTGCTCATTTATAAAGCACTTGTCAAACAAAATTTAAACAAAGGGCAGAATCTCAGAGGAGTAATAGTCCTTTAAAAGCTACTGAGACTGATTGCAAATCACTGTGGTCGCTTTTTGTTGTTTTTCATTAAAAATAAGATAGAAATTATGGAGTCATCTATTGCTTTTGGCTAACTCTCTGAGAGTCCATCTGAGATCTGTCATATAGGGGCAACAGTGCCTGGATAGTAATGTTGGCCATTTCAGTGTAAAATACTGATGTTTCAGCTCTTTACTGTAAATCACTACATGATAAAAGAATAGTCAAACCCAAAACAATCAGGAATCCTTGGAAAACTCATTGTTAATTGCACCACAATAACTGTTGTTGTATGTGGGACAGAGAATATGTTAAGATGATTGATTATACTATTAAAGTTTTTTTCGTATATGCCATGCAAAAGAAGCCTAACTGATGGCAGCAAGATGTTCAAAACTGGGAAAGAGAGCAGTTAAAAATGGATGTAATACTTGTTCATCAAAAATAGTCTAATTTCGGCTTATGCATTTTCAATTTTACAGGAATAAAGACAGGCATAAAGGTATAATGAAAAAATAATAAATGCCAAATATACTGTGTTCTGAGAATTATGTAAATGCACCATTTCTTGGGGAAACTGTGAAATCTGCAAGTTTTCTGCTCACCTGTTTCTTAGATGAATAATTGTCCCCATTAATATATTAAGGTGATAAAGGTACAGATGTCTTTGTAGTGTTTCTGGTATGGGTATATTTTTCCAGTCATGCAGAAGCTAGTGTACAAAATTCTAATAACTAGGGGTGAAATTCACCCCGTGCAGATCAGCCCAAAAGCCTATCCACTATTTACATTCCACTTAAGATCTCTGGGTGCAAATGGTGCCAAGCACTTCTGCTGGCTCTCTGCACGACAGTCAATTTCATCCTCATTGGATCCATTTTTACTGGCATTGCAGTTGTAATGATTGGTTCACATGTACCAAGATAAAAATATCAGAGCCAATATCTGCCAAAATGGAAATTGTCCTTCAGCAAGTTCTGGAATTCTCTACAGCTGCTAGTGTAAATGGCAGTGCATATGAATGGAAAATAATTGCCTGCCCCACACATTAGGGGTTTCATGGCCTACATGGGGAGATAACAGAACAGTAGGATCTCTGAAGAAATACAAGCTCTCAACTGCTTGCTCTTCACTTTATGGCACCTTTCATGATGCAGTACGATCATTGATGGTGACTAGAGGCCCAATCCTTCACCACTGATGTCAGCGGGTGCAGGCTCATGCACTAGGAATTGTTGAATAGATGAGGGTGGCTTTTGTAGTGATGTCACTTACTCATATAAAGATAATGATTATGAAGAGGCTAGGGAGGAAAGAACCAGAAAAAGGGTTCTAACCACATGCTTTATTGTTATGAAAAAGAGAGAGAAATAGTCAAAGGGATCTTAATTCTTTGTGTGGCAGAGCTCTGACCTTGCCCCCATGGGTCCCACGCTTCCAGGCAGTTTATGCTAGTCTCAGAGGCTCACTGCAGTCCTCCACATAGCCTCTCTCTCTACGGCCAAGGTTACAGTCTACTGAGCCCTTTTTATCATAAGCCAGCAAGGAGGTTGGTGAAAGAACTCCTACAGTCTCTGTTGTCCCTACAGGCTTATTCTATAATAGTTTAGCCTCCTGTCCTGACAGGGGCCTATCTTCCCCTCCCAGGAAGTGTTTCTGTAGTGGCGGGTTGCGGGGAACCCAGGCTCATCCTCTACTCTGGGTTCTGGCCCAGGGACCCTAATGGCAGCAGCTGCTGGCAGCCAACCTTTCACTGCCAGAGTTGCTACATTTCCTTGAGCCACTTCCCCACAGCTCTCCTGCTCTCTCTTCTTCACCCTTACCTTAGGGCTCCCTAATGGCTTGAGGGTGTCTTCATTACTCAGCCCTTCAGCCATACTTCCTCTCCTCTGGCTCCCCTCAGCCTGACTGGAGTGAGCCCTTTTATAGTATCAGAAGGGCCTTAATTAGAGTCAGGTGTTTACATTAACTTAGGTTTCAGAGGAACAGCCGTGTTAGTCTGTATTCGCAAAAAGAAAAGGAGTACTTGTGGCACCTTAGAGACTAACCAATTTATCTGAGCATGAGCTTTCGTGAGCTACAGCTCACTTCATCAGATGTTTACCGGTAAACATCTGATGAAGTGAGCTGTAGCTCACGAAAGCTCATGCTCAAATAAATTGGTTAGTCTCTAAGGTGCCACAAGTACTCCTTTTCTTTTTACATTAACTTAATGGCCTCACTTGGCTCTTTGCAGGTTAATTGGAGTGAGGTGTTCTCATTAGCCTGGAGCAGCCCCTGCTCTGGTCAGTCAGGGAACAGCAAACTGCTAATCCAGTGGCCAGTATATCTGCCTTCGACTACACTGTTGTACCCAACTGCCCTGTGTCTATCACATTTGTTCCTGTTCCTTGTTAAAGGATCTAGGAAGGTCAGGTGCATACAGCCAGTCTGTGAGAAATGCAGTACTTGTGGCACCTTAGAGACTAACCAAAAGGTGCCACAAGTACTCCTTTTCTTTTTGCGAATACAGACTAACACGGCTATTACTCTGAAATCTGTGAGAAATGTTACTGTTACCCCATCCCTTCTCCCTGCCACCTGATCACCCTGTTTTTATTTCACTAACCTGTTGCATCTTGTCTTAATCTAACAATGCCTGCTCAGTAGGCCAGGGTCTATCTTTATTATATGTCTGCAATACGCCACCTAGCAATATGAGGCCCCAACCTGATTGGGGTTTCTAGACCTTGTTCTTATACATATAAAAAAAATAATAATCTAAAGCCCTGAGATCTGGGATGAGGGAATGGGTTTGTTTGCAATACAAGTTCATCCTGTGGTTTCCTTCTTTGGCAACTTTCAGGCTTGT